TTGCTTTGCAGTACTGTGTAGTCAGGCGAAGTACAGACATCTGCAGAGCAGGCAATGACAGAGGATATGGATTAACGTGGGAATTTCCTTGTGCTGGGGGCTGGACAGGTGGGAGTGGGTCAGTTTGCATCTGCCGTGCTGTGCAAGGCACGACACAACTTGGCTTATGGACACTGAAAGAAAACAAGAAGGCAGCAGAAGGCTGTCTCTGGACATGGCTTTGCCTTGTACTGGCTTTAAATATGAAAGACTAATTTGCAACACGGACAACGGCATGTTTAGCAAAACATAGTAAATATATTAACCCAAATCTTCTGAGGAAGTTTGATTAGGTCGATAATACCACCCCTGAGTCTGTCCTTCTCTATAGAGCAGATAAGTATGACATACTGTGAACATATCATTGTCCTTCATTATCAGAAGATGCAGAATATGAACAATGGCCTAAACAAATCCCAGGTGAGCAGACATAGTGCACTCTTCATTATAACAGGCCAGTGGCATTGGGCACGAGTCTGGTCCAGTGTATTGGATGGCCAAGCTAAGTGTTCCAAAATGCTCCATTTTCTGAAAACATGATGGGCATTGCAAACAAAGGGAATAATCATGATTTTTAAACACCAAAGGATATAACTAAGCAGGTTGATTAGATAGTGCAAAGACCGGATATCCTGTGTGTATAAGAAATACATAATGACTAGTGAGAGAGGTATTTAAAGATTAATTCATTTGTGCACATGGCCACATTTTGTTTTCATGTCTTACTTTCCATTCATATCTTCATCCATTTACTCCTTTAAAGCAATTGTTACTTTTCTTACTCTCTTACCTATCAGAGATTTGCACCCGAAATCTGAATGCCTGGTTTGAATTGTTATAGAATAGCTACTGCAAGTTTTTCAGAGCTCTTTTGCGCATGATTTTTTTTTTTTACTTCACATTTTCTGTCCAGAGCACTGTTGACAGCTCTCTCTCCTAGGAATTTCCATCATTTCTTTAGAAGGGGGAAAGAAGGTATTTCATGTCCTTGTGCTTAATAAGTAAAATTGAATAATTTATAAGCCTTATGATAAATCATATTTAAAGGAACAAGATCACATGTTTTGAGCTTTGAGTTTGGTCTTGGCAGGTTTGCAATATGCGAAGACAGTCCTTTAGTGGTCAGGAAGTCACTCATCTACACCAGGCTTTTAATGGAAAATTATTCAGCAAGCCAAACAGAAATTTCATATCACATCTCACAGATTCTAATCATTAAAGATATTTGGCACAAAACGGTCACTAGTGTGCCATAGACAGAATTAATAAGACCTCAGAGATGATTGGTACATTAGAACCTTGCTGCATGGTGGCCAGATGTGCTCCGTTATCTATCTGTGTGTTTATCTCTCTATCTACTTGAAGTTAGTTATATCTGTGATTTTCATTGGTGTAATAAATATGTTAATATGTGACCTTATTTTATGTAGAGAGACAAAAAAGGGCATTTTGCCATACAGCAAAATTGTGTAACACCTTCAGATTTTTGTTAAATATTACACTAATAGTCCGTAGCTAGTTATATGAACTTGATTTCCCCCCTCAAGCACAGCTTCTACATGATACATTTAAGCTGTGTAATTAGTGGTTTAGATAATAAATTGGTTTTCTATCAGTCTGTTTTGTTTGTTATTGCTAATGAAATTATTGTAACGTTGGGCTTAGCAAGTAGAGGAACTCTGTTATTTTACCTCATGTTTTAAAAGCTATTCCCTATTTGTGTTGCATACCAGATGTCACACTAATTATTATCTGCAGACAGGAATGCAAGCTCTGCTCTAAATGTAAAGCTTTTATAAAAGCGTTATGCATTAAATGGTGCAAACTACTGTTATGCTCTAGTATATTAATACTTTGAAATCTCCTCTTGTTGTCGTAGGAGCTCCTTGTATCTATGATTGTGAAACTGAAAACTGTGAAATTTTCAAAATTAATCAGATCTGGAGATCAAATGCTACCTTTATTCCCACTTACCCCATCTCATTGAAATTGGGTTTTATTATGGACGTGTGGCTTTTTCACTTCATTTGCTCTCTGAGATACCCGTATACAAATCTTTATACAAAAACAAACCAACTCTTGTTAATCTTCAAAACTTAGAGCAGGTTGGGGTTTTTTTTCTTGTGAATATAAGCAAAACTTGGTCCACAGTGTTTAGTTTAAGTAGGAATACCTTCAGCACATGGAGTTTTATACAGGTATTTTGATCGCTTTACAAGCCAAACTTTTTCAAACTCTCAGCACCTCTTTGCACTTGTAACTGATCTTTTGAATCAGTAAGAGACTCGGGGCTCTTCTCACTTCAGTTGAGGAAGAGAAAGAAGAGTGGACCATGAGTAGTTTGTGGAGTATACCTGTTATTTCACAATTAGGTCATCTATTCAGCTCTGCTGCTTATGTTGGGGTTTTTATTGCAGGGGGACTTTGGATGAAAGGCAAAATGAGAGGAAATAGGCTCTCTGGCAT